AAAAAAGTTAAACAGTAAAATACCCAAAAACTCTCATTTTTGGGAATACTATTTTCAATATTATTCAATTTATTTTAAACCCTCTAAATTTGTTAATTCAATTAAATACCCCTAAATATTTTTTTTTAAATTATAAAAACACCCCAACAATCCACATTTACCAGATTCCGGCCACCACCATCGGAAAATGACCGGAATCTGATAGGATGGCGCACTACCGGCTGAATCTGGCCGGTCATGCGCTGATTTAGCCTTTTTCGGCCAGATCCACAGTGGATCTGGCCGAAAAAGGCCAGATCTAAGGCCAAAGATCTGGCCATGATCTTTGGCAGTAACAGTCGGTCACGACGGCCAACAAACGGTCGTCGTTGACCATCAACGACGACCGTTTGCTGGCTGTCGTTGAGCAAATATGGCTAGATCTAGCCGTTGTCGGCCAGATCTAGTCGTAGATCTGGCCTTTGCTGGTCAGATCCATCGTGGATCTGGCCGGAAAAGGCCATATCGGCGCATGACTGGCTGATCCAGCCGGTCATGCACCGATAAGGCGACTCCGGCCACCTCCGGTGGTGGTGGCCGGCTGGGCGGAGGTGGCCGGCTGGGGGTGTTTGAGGGTAGGTTGGGGGTGTTTTTGTTAACTTTTAATGTTTTATTATATGGGGTATTTTGTAAAAAAAAAAACATAAGGGGCATTTTATTAATTTATAAATCCTACATCGTAATACCCGCCCAATTCAACTTTTTTTTAACTTTTTTCAAAAAACTTTTCCCAAACCCTCAAATTTTGAACCAAACGAAGCCATGGTCGTTGGCTTCACTTCACCAATTCCCAATCTCCTGAAAATAGAAAAAGGCATTAAATTGATGCTAGCACGTAAATCACATAAAACTCGATCAAAGGTAATGTCTCCTATAATGCAAGGAATAGTAAAACTCCCTGGATCTTTGAGTTTTGGGGGTAACTTCTTCTGGAGAATGGCACTGCAGTCCTCCGTGAGCATCACTGTTTCCTCATCCTCTAACTTCCTTTTGTTTGATAAAATCTCCTTGAGAAATTTCGCGTAGCTCGGCATCTGTTGCAATGCATCTGCAAAAGGAATGTTAATATGCAATTTTCTAAATATTTTAATGAATTTGGAAAACTGCATATCCTGATTCTTTTTCTTTAGTCTCTGAGGAAATGGCATAGGAGGAGTGTGATGTGCCAATTCTGGTGATATCTTGGGAAATGGCAATTTCTCTTTCCTTTGTCTTTGCCTCTCTTCTCGTTTTTGTTCATCTTCACTTGAACTGGTTGGTTTCTCTTCGGCAATGATCTCTTCATCAACTTCCTCCTTGGAATCTCCCTTTTCTTTTGGTGGGCTTCCTTCTTCTCTTGATTTTTCCACCTCTTTTAAAACTGTTCCACTTCTCAGAGTTATTGCATTTGCTTGCTCATGTGGGTTAGTCACTGTGTTGCTTGGTAGTGAGCCTTGTGGTCTCTCATTTAACTTATCAGCCAACTCACCCACTTATACCTCCAAGTTCCAAATGGACACCCCTTAATTTCTGAAATTTGTTCTCGTCTCATTTATAAAACCCGTGGTCTCTTGCATAAACTTTCCAAACATGTCCTCCAATTTTGTCACTCTTTGCTCTCTTTGTTGATTGTTCACCCCTGTTTGGTTGTTTGGCAATGCTCTTTGGTTCCATTGATTATTTTGTTGATTCTATTGGTTCTGATTGCCCCAAGACAGGTTCGGATGATTCCTCCAACCAGGATTATGTGTGTTGGAGTATGGATTGTTCGATTGCCTTTGATTTCCTGCCAAGTAGTTAACTTGCTCCGATGATGAAGATGCTGAAGCAAACGTGTTCCCTACTTGACATTCGCTGCTCACGTGATTACTTGCACAAAATTCACAAGTTAGTTGAGGTGCTTGTATGGAATTTACCTGCATACTTCCCAACTGTTTCTGAAGTGCTATCAATTAGGCTGAAATTGCTGTATATGCATCAACTTCATGAAGATCCATGGATTTCTTCGGTTGCACCCTCTCATTAGGTCTTTGATAATTGTTGCTTGCCAGAACTTCAAGCAACTCGTGAGCTTCCTCCGGTGTCTAATTTTGCAGTGCTCCTCCTACTACTGCATCCACCATAGTTTGCAGATTCACCATCAATCCGTTATAAAATGTTTGGACTTGCATCCAAACTGGCAACCCATGATGTGGACACCTCCTCAGTAATTCTTTGTATCTCTCCCAAGCCTCATACAATGAGTCCGACTCTTCCTGTAGAAACGATGTCATATCATTTCTCAGCTTTGTCGACTTTGCTGGAGGAAAGAATTTGGTCAGGAACTTTTGTGCTTAATCATTCCATGTTGTGATCGTTCCTGATAGTAGTGCCAGTAACCATCCCTTAACTTTATCCTTCAATGAAAACGGGAATAGTCTCAATCTGATGGCATCATCTGACACTCCGTTTGACTTGAAAGTATCACAAATCTCCAAAAAATTTGCAATGTGCAGATTTGGATCTTCCTTTAAATCTCCCTTAAACTGTATCGACTGCTTGATCATCTGGATGATTGCCGGTTTTATCTCAAAGTTGTTGGCTTGCACCGCTGGTCTAGTAATTCTCGACCTACTGCCTTCAACTGTGGGAACTAAGAATTCCCTTAGTGTTCTATTCTCTGCCATCTCTACAACTATGACTTCTGGTTCATCTATAGCCTCTCGTTCTATTCTCTCTCTGTTAAGCCTTCTTGTGGTTCTTTCAATTTCTGGATCAATAGGAACCACTGGCTAATGTCTTGCTCTTCGCATAAACTACACAGAAAAGGATAAAAAGTGAGATCACAAGCCAACCAACAAGAATAACAAAATTTAAACTAACAAACAATTAAACAAAAATAAAGCTCCAATCTAGCTAACACAAGAAAAATTTAATGTTAACACACAACTCAATCCTCGGCAACGGTGCCAAAAACTTGATGCGTTGTTACTACAACATGCAATGATAGCAAGTGCACTAGTCACACAAAGTAATAAAGTGATGAGTGAGTATCATTCCTACAGGGATTGATTGTTAAGCACTAACTTTCCTAAGTGTTTTTCAAGCTGGAGAAACTAAAATTGTTTGGATAAATGGGAGATTAAAAATTAAACTAAAAACCAAACTTACTAAACATTAAAAACTAAAATAATGAAAGCAAGAATTTAAACGCAAGGCTAATATCAATTTAACAAACGATTAGGGTTTTGACTTCATTCGGACTCTATGGATGGATTCGATGGACTATGCTAATTCCACACTCACATGCACGGATTGTAAATCGAATTCTCTAAATTGTCAAACATACCTTCTCAGGCTATGAATTCCTACTTTTCCCTATTACACTTCCGCACCCAACAAATTGAAGAATAGTAGATCCAAGTTCATTAAGCTAATGGAATCCTAGATTGATTTCATTGATTCTCAAATCTATCTCTAGCATTTAATACTACAATGGTGATTACCCAAGAAGCTCAACATGATTCATTTCTCAATCTCATCATATTCATCAAATAAAATCAATAAAAACAGAACAACCACACAATCTGTGCAAAAGAGTACGGAAATAACAATAATCAATTCATTAACCCATAGAAATCCGAAGTTCATCAAAACCCTAACCCAAAATGGGTTAGTTCATAACTAATTCAACATAGACAGTAGGGAAAACAGTAAACATAGCAGTAAACATATTGAAATAAAGAGAAAAGAAAAGATATCTCCCCTAGTTGAAGAATCCCCAAGGTTGAATCTCAAATCTTCTCACTTTCTCTACAAAAATGTAAACCTAATTCAAAAAGCAAACGTCTCCCTTTCTCAAAATGGCAAAGTATTCCTTTTATACATCACCCCAAAAAGCTAAAACTTTCCTAAAATAAAACTGTGTGTTTAAAAGAAACCTAAAATTTGCAGACTTCGCCGCGGCGACGAGGTAAGTTGGAATCTCATGTTTCACTTCCTTTGTCGCGGCGAACCTTCATGAAGAATTCTAAAATTACAGAATTGCCCTCCGCTTGTTTCTTTGCTTTAATCTTCAATCTCCGATGCTTTCCCATAGGAACAAGCTTCATAGTGCTTCCATCTGCTTCAGAACTCTTTCAAATTCCGAGATCCGCTCACTTCTGGGTCCAGAAACTCCAATTCACTCATTATTTGCTCAAAATGTCCATTTTGGCCTGAAACACAAAATGTAAAGAATTAAGTAGGAATTCAGGAAAAAATGAACTAAGAAGTATCTAAAATCTGACTAAAAAGCCTAATAAAAACAGTATAATTCTCGGATTATTAGGAGGTCAGGAAAGTTCCCCGGGCCATTCATCGCCATCGCACGACTCTAACCAGCATGCGTCAAAAGCGGCCAGAACTACCGGTCGAGGCGAGAAGGAATCCAATCTCCAGACTTTCCTCAATCACACTTGAGAGGGTTGAACTCGCATGGGGGAAAGCAATCCCCAGATAGCTCCACTGCCTCAGATTGAGGAGCTACAGAAAGCTATCGATCAGTTAAAGGCTCAACAAAATGAGCGAGGGCAGGCTGCAGGGGTGTCTCCCTTTTCTGCGGCTGTGTTGGCCGCCCCTCTCCCGTCCAGATTTAGGATGTTTGATATGCGGGCATTCGATGGGAATTCAGATCTGCAGGATCATTTGTACGAATTCAACGACTAGATGGAACTTCATCAAGTCTCCAATTTGGTAAAATGCCGATGCTCGACAGTAACTCTTACATCTCACGCCAAGCGGTGGTTCAGGTCGCTCTCGACGGGATCAATCAACTAATGGAATCAAATGAGCTCAATATTCTTAAGACACTTCCAGGTGAACATGAAGTTTTAATGCCTTTGAGCTACCTCAGCAACATAAGGCAAGAGAGGGATGAATCCCTCCAATCTTACATCGACAGATTCCACAGAGAGCTCCATAAAGTAGCCCACACTCCCGAAGAGTCTGTTCGGACTCTCATCATGACTGGAGTTTGTCCACAGACAGATCTATGGAAGAAGCTGCAATCAAAGGATGATGTTTCCCTCACCTATTTTTACAGTCTTATAGAGAAATATCTCTGTATCGAGAACTCCGTGGTGGCACTCCACCGCCATGACCTCGGCAGTTCGAGCAATGTGCCAGGTTAGGGGGAAAATAGGAGGGCTGATCGTCGATGGTCTAGCGATGATCAGCGAAAAGGAAAGAAACATCGGTTTAAGCCCAAGAAGTCTTATGCCCTCGTTCCTCGTCATGATCGCAACAGGAATCAATATGCTTCACTGAATGCATCTGTCTTGGCAATTCTTGGCAAGTCAGAAGAGGTCAGTCTGCTCGGAGAGCCTGAGCCCATGAAAAGTCCCTCTTCAGCTAGAAACAGTAAAAAATACTGCCATTATCATCAGGACAATGGGCATCACATCGATGAGTGCCGAGCTCTCAAGCAGGCAATTGAAGATCTAATCAAGCAAGGGCATTTCAAGGAGTATATTGATGACTCTGCTCCTGTAAGGGAGAAAAATCGAGAGGAACAGGGCAAGAAGCGTCGTGATCGCAAAGGTATCTGTAGCGTGGGGTTAATCTTTGGGGGACCACATCTTGGGGGAAACTCGCAAGGTGCCCAAGAAAGATATGTTCACACAGCCCATCAAAACGCTATCCGTGTAATGAACACGGTGCAGCAACCTCCAAAGGTTCACAAAGAGGAGGAAATCACCTTCTCCGAAAAAGACGCAGTCCAATTGCATCATCCCAACGATGATGCTCTCGTCATTACGCCTCAGATAGGGTGCTTCAACGTCCACAGAATGTTGGTAGATAATGGAAGCATTGTGAACATCCTATTCCAGCTAGCTTTCGAAAAAATGAAATTGGATGAGGCCGACCTGAAGCCAACCTCAATCCCCCTCTATGATTTTAGAAGGGATCACTTGATCCCCAAGGGAACGATCTCACTTCCAGTCATGCTGGGTGACTCTGATGGGGTGACCAAGATAACTGAATTCTTGGTAATAGATTGCCTGTCCGCTTTTAATGGCATCCTGGGGCGACCTCTACTAAGGAACTTTCGAGCAGTCACTTCAATCTACCATCTCAAGATGAAGTTTCCCACCCCGACGGAGATAGAGGAAGTAAGTAGATCGTAACGCGTAGCTCGCGACTGCTATGTGAAAGCAGTGCAGATGGCGTGCAAAGGGAAGGGCATCACCCGCGGCATTCCCAAACAGGTAATGGAAATTAGTCGGATCAAACCACAGCCTGGCCCAGCCGAGAATAGCAAGGACCCCCGTTTCCAGGAATGCCCTTCTAGCGGACCAATTGAGGATTTATCTGAAGTGTCAGTCAACCAAAGCGAGCGGAGCAGAGTGTTGAGGATTGGAAGCAATCTCAACCCCCAGCTCGCTTCCAATCCTCAACACTCTGCTCGCCAGTGACCTAACCAGCTTCCTTAGAGAAAACATCGATGCGTTCGCATGGACGCATGCCGACATGGTCGGGATCAGCCCGGACATCATTTGCCATGCCTTGAACATTGATAGTGAAGCCAGACCGATCTGCTAGAAAATGAGAGCGATGGATCCAAAACGATATGCTGCCTTGAAAATCGAGGTAGATAATCTCCTCCAAAATGGGTCCATCCAAGAAGCCCTCTAGCCGAGGTGGGTTGCTAACCCAGATCTAGTAAAAAAGCCTAACAGCAAGTGACGAACCTGTGTTGACTTCACCGACCTCAACAAAGCATGCCCAAAGGACAGTTTTCCCCTGCCAAGAATCGATCAGCTCGTGGATGCCACCTCCGGGCACGAGCTGCTAAGTTTTATGGATGCATACTCAGGATATAATCAAATTCTGATATATGCGCCAGATGAAGAACATACCTTCTTTGTTACAGATCAGGGGTTGTACTGCTATAGAGTTATGCCTTTTGGCCCAAAGAATGCTAGTGCAACTTACCAGCGGTTGGTTAACTGGATTTTTTTGAGTAGATCGGGAGGTCGATGGAAGTCTATGTCGATAACATGCTAGTCAAGTCGCATGTCGCTTCAGATCACATAGCGCATCTCGCTGAGATGTTTGACATCCTCCAAAAGTACATAATGAAGCCCCTTAAATGTTCCTTTGGAGTTTCCTCGGTAAACGTTTTGGGGTATATGGTTAACCGAAGGGGAATCGAGATTAACCCCGAAAAAATCCAAGCTATCCTTGATATGAAGAGCCCGACCAGCAAAAAGTAGGTTCAAATCCTCAATGGGCGAATAGCGGCATTAAGTCGCTTCATATCAAGGGTAACAGATCGCTGCTTGCCATTCTTCAATGTGCTCAAGGCTAATAAAAAGTTCGAATGGACTCCTGAGTGCGAACAAGCATTCTAGAGCATTAAAGAGCACCTCGGGAAGCCACCTCTTCTGTCCAAGCCTTTTTCGCAAGAAATTCTCCTCCTGTACTTGTCCGTCTCCCAATATGCGGTTAGTGCAGCATTAGTCCGAGAAGAAAGCAAGGCTCAATGGCCAGTGTATTACGCAAGCAAGCGTTTGTTAGATTCTAAAATACGGTATCTGGAAATGGAGCAATTGGCTTATGCCCTACTGATCTCTTCTCGAAAGTTGTGACCTTATTTCCATGCCCATACAGTTCATGTAATGACCAATTATCCATTCAGAAAGGTCCTCTAAAAGTCAGAGGCGTTGGGAAAATTGCTTAAATGGGCCATGGAACTAAGTCAGTTCGATCTGCAGTACAGATCAAGAGCAGCTATCAAAGGGCAGGCTGTTGCCAATTTCATCTTAGAGTTCTCATATCATCTGGCAAAAGAACCCAAGCAACAAGCCAGCGATGTCAACTAGGAAACTATTCAGAATCTTTCGACCTGGATCCTATACGTCAATGGATCATCAAACAGAAAGAGGGTCGGGGCAGGTCTTCTTCTCTTAAGTCCCGAGGGGACTCGTATTCATGGCATCCTCCGGTTCGGGTTCAAAGCGACCAATAATGAGGCTGAGTATGAAGCTCTACTCGCTAGATTGCGATTAGCCAAAGAAATGGGCGCAACCATGATCAACATCCATAGCGACTCCATGCTGGTTGTCAACCAGATTTTGGGGGAATACCAAGCCAAGGAGGAAAATATGATCTGCTATCTGAAGAAGGCTAAGGCCGCGCTCGAGCCGTTCAAGCACTTCACAATCACATAAATTCCTAGAGATAGCAATTCTGTGGCAGATTCCTTAGCAAAAACAGTCTTGTCGCTAGACTTATATGCACCAAAAAGTATTCCTGTTCGGTTTATAGAGGCCCTCAGTGTTAGCTCCACCAAACAGGTCGTGAATATGGCAGAATCAGTTTCCTGGATGACTCCTATCATTTAGTATCTCTGAGACAAGACTTTGCCCAACAACAAGGTTGAGGCAAGGACCCTATGAACAAGAGCTGCTCGTTACACTCTAATAGGAGACCAGCTGTACAAGCGAGGGTTCAGCACCCCTCTCCTCCGATGTGTAATGATGAGGAAGCAGATTATATCATGAGGGAGATACCTAAAGGGATCTGCGGCAATCACACGGCCGCACGATCTCTCGCTAACAAAGTTGTTCGTCAAGGGTATTACTAGCCCCTGATCCAAGAGGACGCTTACAACTTTGTTAAGAGGTGTGACAAGTACCAACGGTTCGCGAACATACCGCGAGCTCCTTCCCACCAACTGATAACCATGACCAGCCCCTGGCGATTCTCCATGTGGGGAATCAATCTTATCGGTCCCATGCCAGTTGGTAAAAGAGGAGTTAAGTATAAGATGGTTGCGGTAGACTACTTCACCAAATGGGTCGAAGCAGAGCCATTAGCCGCGATCACCACCAAAAAGCTCAAGGACTTCGTGTTCAAGAACATTGTGTGTCGATATGGGATTTCTCATACCCTTATCTCTGATAACGGAAAACAATTCGATAACAAGAAATTTAAGCAGTTATGCGACGAGCTGGGTATTCATAAAAAAATTGCCTCAGTCGCAAGACCGCAAGCAAATAGTCAAGTTGAAGCCGTCAACAAAACCATCAAGCACACTTTGAAGGCCAAACTTGGCGCAGCCAAGGGAAATTGGGCTGACGACCTCTCTGAAGTCCTGTGGGCATACATGACAACTCTGAGAACCTCTACCTCATAAACTCCCTTTTTGCTAGCATATGGTTGCGAAGCAATGATCCCTGTAGAGGTAGGAACCGGTTCATTTCGGAGGGACCTGTCCAACGAAGCCAATAATGAAGCGCTCATGCGCACAAGTCTAGATCTAGTTGAAGAACATCGCAGCAAGGCTCAGCCAAGAATAGCAACCTATCAGCAACAGGGGAAGAGGTTCTTCGACTCTAAGGTCAGAAGAAGAGACTTCCAGGTCGGCGACCTTGTTCTAAAGGAAGTTATTCTCTGTACTCGAGAACCAAGTGCGGGAGTTTTGGATCTGAACTAGGAAGGCCCATACCGCATCGCCAAAGTGATAAGACCGGGGATTTATCACCTCTAAAGACTGAATGGTTTCGAAGTACCACGAGCTTGGAATGCTAAACATCTTCGACCATATTACCAGTAATTCCGAACTTAATTTTCCCTTGTAAAGTTTTTTCTTAATCTTTGTAAACAAGTGTATAATTTTGTTCTTTTGTAATTATCTTTCCATGTGTATAAATTATGTTCGCATAGACTTGTCTCAATGTTATTATAAACAATGCAATCTCATGTATAACATAGGTACAGAAATTGTAAGTACTCATGAAAGATTGAAAAAGATATGTATTTCTTCATTAATCAAAAGGGAAGTACATGAGCGAGCAGGGAAAGATTCCAAAAGTACAAAACAATCATTGGCCTTCATCCCCAATTCCCAAAGGCGCGACCTCATCATCCCCAGGCTAATCGCCATCCATCTGGCCAGCTGTGGGTTCCTCGGGGGCATGACCCGAAGGCTCCCCCTGATTTGGTCCTTAAGCGGCCTCCGCTGCATCTTCATCGTCAAGCCACGCCATGGACAAAAGATAGTCCCGATATTCCTCCGGGAGGTCAGAGATATCCAATCCAGGATTCCTCAGCTGCAAGGCATAGATAGACTCAATTGCCCATTCGACAGCCTTCGACTCGAGCTCCGTCGCTTGGATCCGCATCTCTTCGGTCAGCCTTTGACTTGCTTGGAGTTCAGTCTGAAGCTCCTGCCTTTGCTTCTCTGAGGCCTCCCACAGCTCGCCCCTCTCCCGCTCTGCTCGTAAGGGCTGCTGAGAGGTCGCTTTGAGCTCTTGCTCTTTCTCGTCGACCTCCTTGGAGGGTCTGGCCACAGTCCTCTGGAGCTCCTTTATCTCCTTCCCATGTTTCTCTAGCTCGGCTTTCTGAAAATCCATCATGCGAAGAGCAGCGTTCCTTTCGTTCAGGTACTAGTTCGCCGATTCGGTGGATAGCTCCTTCTCTGCCTCAGCAGCTTCTAAGTCCCGCTTAAGTCGCGCGTTCTCTTCTCTCAGTGCAGCCTCTCCCTCGCCAGCTCCTAGCCGGACCTTTTGTAGGAACAATTGCATGGAGAGCAGAGCCTGTGAACAAAAAGAATAACAAGTCAGTTTCCTATCGAAAAGAACAAATGTAAAGTCCTCACTGAGGACAGCTCGTTTTACCTTGTTTAAGTGCTAGATGGATGTGGACATCAGGTCCATGTGGTTGGAGCCCACAAACTCCTCGAACGCTTCTACGAGTCCACGCTCCAACAAGGTGAAAACCACCAGCTGAAGATGATCCGAGAGTTGTCCCATCGATTCCAGCACCAGAGTGTCCTTGTCCGTGCCAGGAGTCATGTCGCCTGCTGGTTCCTTACTTCGTCTCCTCCCAGGATCCGCAACCTTGTTTTGCCCTACTCGAGGTGCTTCCAGAGCAATGGGAATGCTGGGCTGCGACCTTCTAGGCTGAACGCCCAGGTCCTCTAGTTCAGACTTTGACTTTTTGGTATAAATTAGTCTCTCCTTCTTGGGCCCTTGGGCCGTTGTCTTCTGCCTCGGGCGAGCAGCTGAAGGCTGGGAAGAGTCTGTAGGTCAGACCAAAGCATCGACTGAAGGTTTACGAGCCCCAGTAGATCGTACCGGAGCTCCCGATGTTACCCCTTCAGCGGGGGGACCATTGGGAG